AGTTCTGGCTTGCTTTAAAGGGCTGAAGTCTTGCAAAGTGAGGAAAGACTAATTGTGACCCAGGGGCTAAAGAGGCCTTCTCAAGGAGGTGATAGCTGAGTCTTAAATAAAGTCAGAATCAGTATTGTGGAAGGGAGAACATGCATGTGGAAATGGCAGGCTGGAGCACATGGGGTAGGTGCCTGAGCATCTGGCCTTGTCAGCCAGGGTAGAGGGCATGGGGCCAATAGGAGGATGATAGGTCAGGTGTGTCTCTCAGAACCATCTCTCCAGTGAAGACTTGTGGCTGCCTAGTTTGGAGGAGACAAGCATGATGGATGGGGAGGTGACACTGCCTGAATGCCATGGACAGTCTGGAGAGGGCATCAGCCCTACAGCATGTGGGTCAGCCTGTCTCGCCAACCAGGAGTACACAATGCAGTCTGCTATGGCGGAAGTCATGTGACCTGTCTTTAGGGACCGCAATTTCCCCCTTCTTAGAATTTCTCTTCCCAACACCCTGACCTTCATGCCCCAAGAACAAACTCATTAATAACAGACCACCTTTGAGGCATGCTCCTTTCTTGGCTGGCTGGTCCCTCTTTTTAGGTGCTATCCTGTCTCATGACTTAGTCACTAAAATTACACTATTCAGGAACAACAACAACAACATCAAACTTCTGAAATTGCTCATGAAGGCTTGGTGAGCGGTTTCAAGGGCATTTAGAACCTGGGTCTAGATTAGCTCTGGGAACTGCCACACACAGGCAGTCCCGCAGGGTCAGAGTCAGAGCATGACCCGACAGGGTGGGTTATCAACTCCTCATTCCGGAGGTGGCTTCCTCAGTGGCTCCCTTGTCCTCCAGGATAAGGAAAAAATGGCACGCAGGGGCTCTCAATATCTGTGCTCCATGGACGTCATGGGATTTGACTCTGTTTTTCGATTTTCTGCTCCATCACAACTAAGTGCAGGGGTGTCCTCTGAATCCTCTGCACCCTGCGGCTCACCTTTGCGCTACTGTCCTCTCTGCCTTCTTCCTCCTCCTCTTTTCCCCTGGAAAATGCTACTTACTCACTTACTCCTCACTTCTCCTCAGCTCTGTCTCAGTTCCTCCGGTCAGCCCAAGATGAAGCTCAGCCTAGGTCAGGCCCACTCTCAGCACTGCCATTGACACGTACACCCTTCTTCATTCTGTTGTTTATGTTACACTACCATGACCTGCTCTTACACTGTCCCATGCCAGACTGAGCAACTAACAGGTGTCTACAATAGTTCTCAGGAATTCTAAGATAGGGCTTATGCAAAGAGTTTGGTAAATGTCTGATGAACGGATGAACACTGCACCTGAGTGTTGACTTTCAAAATTAGCAAGAGCACTTATTGAGCAGCATATTAGAGGCACAGAGAATGAGTTACATAGTTTCACATTTTCCTCATGAGCTTCAGGTTTCCTCATCTCCAAAATAGTTTTTAGACTGGTGTTCTTTGAGAAATCTCCCAATTCCTACATTTTATTATTCAACGACTTGCTCAAGTCACTTGACTAAAAAGGAGATAGAAGTGGAAATATAAATCTTTCAAGTAGAAATATAAATTGTTCAACTATAATTCCAAAGCTTGTTTATTAAGAATTCAAGTATCATCTTGTAAGCTCCCTGACTAACCAGCATCCCCAGCTCAAAAATGTTGATTCTCCTTAGCCAAGTTGTGACTATGGGACAACTTGCCTGGCTTAGGGAAGGCACTAAGGTATAAACTTATCTCAAATTTAGAAAAACTCACTCATCTCTCTATGGGTCTCCAAACAACATCATAAAATATTTTTATAGCATTCTCTTGAGCCCATGTGTATGGGGAACAATGATACATCTTTTTTTTATATATAGCTAAAAAGAGCTATGTAATTGTTCTGTTGATGCAAAGCAAACCTTTCCAAAACTGAGCGGCCTAAATATAATTTTTTCCATAGCTCACAATTTGGTGTGATAGGAATCTGGAAAAGTTCGACTGTGTGATTCATCTGTTACATACAGTATTGATAAAATTTACCCAGCATCATCTCCCTGGTGATAGGCTGGTCTGGAGGGTCCTGTTGTGAACCCTGAAGGAATGCTAAAAGGTGAAGCTTCGCTTCTGCCATTGACCAGAACAGTTTTGCCAGCATGAAAGCTTTAGGGTACAGATCTTTTACATGCAGACCAAGTGTTTTCACAGAGGAAGATGAAGCTGCAGAACCACTTCTGGCAAAGCTTCCAAAGTCATACATGTCATGTTCCGTGGGCCAAAGCTATCACGCCTCTTCCTAGAGTTAAGGGAAGGGACACAGACTCTTCCTCTTACTGAGGAGAATATGGAGCCAAGTGTGAAAGCCATCACAGTAACATTAACCACTACAGTGTGTCCAACACTCCGCTAGATAATGCAGACCTGTTCTGATAATCATACCTCTTGCCTGGATCTCACCCTACACTTAAATATCGCATAACCTACTTGCCCCATCACCTAGCTGTGTTGACAACTGACTCCTGATTTCCATGCAAACCTGTTTCATCTGAAGTATCTAAGTAAATGCTGACTGCCTTCTTAAACGCGCTTAGGATTCACACCTGCAGTCACTGATGAGTTTGCCCTTTTTTTGATTACTGCAAAAGCCTCACCACTGGTCTGCTCCTGTTATTCTCTATCATCTATTTTCAAAACAATCACCAGGTGATCCTTTTAAAATGCAGTCAGAGCACTGCATGAACTGGCAACACATAAGTGCTCTCCATCTCAGAGCATTCTGATGCTTCTCCACTGGCCTCCACAACCCTACTTGATCTGACCCTTCTTTCCTTTGTTGACTGCAGCAGCCACTATGGCCATCTTTGCAGGTCCTTGAATGTACCAGACAAGCTTCAGCCTCAGGGCCTTTGCAATTACTGTGATCTCTTTATAGATATCCACAAGGCCAACTCACTTACTACCTTGAAGTTTCTGCTTAAATGTCACTTTCCCTTGAAACTATGCCATGGAAAACAGCAGCCCTTTCACTACTTTGCCAGCCTGAAACCCTTCCCTGCCTTGTATTTTACACTGCAACTGCTGCCATTTTCACTGCTATGTATTTGTTCATTTGCCTTCTGTACTAGAATATATAAAACCAGGCAGTTGACTGGTTCCTAGCTGCATATAGAGTACCTGGCAACACAAAGCAGATATTCAATCAAGAGAGTGAATTCTATTTGAATTAACACTCACTGATAGCATTATGTAGGTTTCAGTATTTGCTACCAAAAGTCTATTTCTCACCCATCACCATGCAATTGACCCCTTTTTCCAGTTTCCTCTCTCCTATACCCCTCCCTTGCTGGTAATCACTATTTTGTTGTTACAATCTAAAAGTTGTGTTCATTTGTTTTCTTTATGTACTAAACATGAGTGAAATCATGGGCTCTTTTGTCTTTCCCCATCTGATATTTCACTAAGCACAATGCCCTCTGGGTGCAGCCATATCATTGCAGGAGGGATTGCATATCCATTTATAGCTCAATAATATTCCATTGTGTCTCTATACAGCTTCTCTATCTTGACTGAATATATTTTTTTAAAGGAAGATCACCCTTGAAGATGAAAACTAACCCATATTTCTCTTTTTTTTTCTCTCCCATTCCCTGAGCAGAAAATGTTGTATAATCACATTAACTTATCCCATGAAAGTATTGTTAACTCACATCCTCTTTGGTACATTTTTCTCTAAATTGCCTAACATCCTGTTTTCCTGATGGTGATACCTGGCTTCGAAGGGGCACTCAGTATGTTATTAACAAACCGAATCTTGTGCTGCTGTCCTACCTATTATATGACATAGAGCCAATGACAACAGTCTGCCAGTTTCCTAGTCTAGAGAACAGCGGCAAATGGTTTCAACCCCTGGCTTGGCTCATCAGAGGAAACAAAATAAGTTTGATTGTTTTCCTTACAACCACACTAAATCTATTCAGCCTGACATTTTTCCAACAAAGAGCAGCTTCTCAACCTCAAAGGGACTTGTGGGGTGGCAGCGAGAGTTCAGCGGAGGGAGTAATACCAGTAATTAAGCGGAGGGCTTAATTTCCTAGAACTCTGCTAGGTGGACAGGAGTGACCTGCCACACGGAGACAGATGTCCTGTAGCCCAGGGGCCAAGGGAAGTTTCCCTGCTGGGTGGCAGCTGAAATGGGTCCTCTGTCCTGATATAAAATCAAACCTCTGGGAAAGCCGCCCTATGAGTCACAGGAGGAGACCTGACTTCCTTTTATACAGATATGGAAGCAAAGCACACCCTCTCTCCCTACTCCCTTGGGAGGAAAGTGAGTTACTAAAGATGGGGTAGAGGGGAGGAAAACTGGTGAAGAGAAGATGTGGTCAGGCCCCGGAGGCGTCCTCCCCTATGCAAAGAGCAGCGGCTACCCAAGGAGACTCCCCTGACTGTTCAGCGCTTCCCCAAAGGTCACCTCTGTTTTTATGAGCACCTCCAGTCTTCTTACAGCTAGTTATTCTAGCAGTAACACAATTTTATGAGAGGAGAACGCGGCGCAGAGACCTCCCTGGCTCCAGGCCCCACAGCTCACAAGGAGCAGTGCCGAATCTAAAGCCGCAAGCCAAAGAGCCCGGCACAGCGCCGCCAGGCTCAGGACGCCGGCTTTCGCCGCCAACGCCCAGGGTTCAGTCCACACGCACGAGCCGCACAGAGAAGCCGGCAGGCGCTACACCCAAGTTGCGAGGGGTCAAAATTCGGCGCAGGGTGAACGGCTACAGTCCCTGGAGCCACCATTCCTGCGACCCGCTTGTCACCTCACCCTCCGAGGTGGCGCGGTAACTCACTTTCGGTTCTGCCTGCCCGGGAGCAAAGCCCGGCACGGAGGACACCCCACGTGTTAACTCCTCTCCAGGAGGCCGGGCGCGCAGGGCAGCCCATCGCAGGGCTCGCCGTGGGCAGGAGGGAGACCGGGCGAGAGAGTACACACAGAAAGCCCATAAGACAAACCGTCGCGCCTTACCCCTTCCATGGCTTTCTTCCGAGGCAGAACCTGGGAGACAAATCTGGCTTCCCACAGCTGAATCCTGGGGCCAAGCGTCCGCTTTGCTCTGTCCGCGCCGAGCAGCGAGCAACTACTTCCCGTCGCCCGGGACGCACCTGGGCGCAGGCTCCTCACCTGCCCCACCTGGGCTGCGGCTCCTCCCTCTCCCGGGGCTGCAGCGTTCCCGCCGCCCGCCGGGCCCACGCCGGCCTCCATCTGCCCAGCTTCTCAGGACCCGGCCCCTGCAGGGGGGAAGGGGCTCTGCCTGTCCAGAGACCCCCCCACTTCCAAGCAAGTGACTCGCTCCAGTGTTCTACAAGCTAGTGCGACAGTCACTCTCCAGGGGAGTTCACTTTGTTAGGGAGGCCCGGGGGAGTTGCTGAGGCGGGCTCCTGCTGGTACAAAATGCCCAGGCTGGACAATGTAATCTCCATTAGTGCAGTCCACCCCCACCCCTGCGGTGGCTACTTCACTTCACAAGAGGATTTCTCACCCACAGGCGGAAAGGAGAGAATCTTGATGATGGTGATCCTGCTCTGGTCAGGGGCTCTCTCAGCATTTGGATACAGTATTATACTTCGATCCTACCGCAGCCCCAGAGCGCTATTATTCCCATTGAGAAGCGAATGAAACTGAAGCTTAGAAAGATCCCATAAACCTTCCTGTGGTTACACAGGTAGTAAATTGAAGCATCATGGCTTGGACCAGGTCTGGCTGACTCTGGAGTAAGTTTTTTTTGGCTTGTTTTTCTGACAGCTGGGACTGGAAACCCAGTCCTCAGGTCTCAGTTCTTAAGAGCTCAGGGCTGACTCAGGGGTGGCCAGGGGCAGTCAGGTCAGTAACCAGGACTCTCCCTCAGGATACTCTTCACGCTTTGTCAAGGGCCAGCTCCTGAAGTGAAAAGCCCCTCCCGCTAGGGCATTCAGAGAGGAGGGGGGGCGGGGCGGGGCACTGGGAGAGAGCCCTCCTGGGGCTCTGTTATCCAACAGGTGGTTGGGTTCCCAAACCCAGCCGATGATTGCTGCTGTCAGTGAAACTGCTGAAAATACAGGCCTTGAGGCCCCAAAGCAGACATGAATCAGTTCCTCTGGCACAGGGTCTGGGAATTTAGATGTTAAATAAGCTTTTCATGTCAGTGTGCTTTAATAATTAACGACTGCAGTAAGATATCTATTTTACACCATGACTCAGCAACTCACACATAATACTAAAATATGCCTATACTGAAATAAAATTTTCCCCAAACAGTAATTACTCTTTCTACATGTGATCATGCTCATGTTTTTTATTCTCTTCTGAGCCACCATGGGCTGTTTAGTTTTTTAAAAAAATCAGTGGTCAGCTCACAGCACAGCACTGATTTCATGACTTGCAGCTTGACCCACACAATCCCATGGGCTCTGCCCCAATTAGACTGAGAGTCCAATGCTCCGAATTTAATAGGGACAGGCCAAAGCTTCTCTGCAACTCTCTTTGAACCTTAGTCCTCATGTCTTCTGCACAGTTGTAAAGAATTTGATGGAGTAACCATGTGCAGATCTCAGGGGGTCTGTCCCAACCCCAGTTGATAGTGGACCCTCAAATTCCCTTTGCTCTCAATGCAAGGGCTCCCCCTGGTGGCTTCAGACAAGCCTGCAAAAGTAGAAGAGGTTGGAGAAGATGGGAAGGGCTCCCTGGACAAAGCACTGGAGGTTGTGCCTATTGGTTTGGCTCAGTACAAGTTACAATGGCCGGTCACAGATTGCAGTAGGCACTAAGTATGGGTGGCTGAAATGAGTTTTTGCATGTGCACTTAAGAACCTTGACTCTGAAATCCCATAGGATTCCCACCACACATTCCCTTACCATCCTCTAAGTGCTAAACTCAATTTCCTCCCTAGATGTTTGTCTTGGGAATGTCAACCTCCAGAATGGATGTTCATCAATTGTAAAACTAGAGAAAAGAACTGGTAGCATTGAATTAACAGTGAATGCAATGAAAATCTCCTGGTACCGTCATTAGCACAAAAGAGGCCTTCACAATGTAGGTTCCTCTCATCCTCTCCCTTTCCTCCTCACTTCCCAGTGTCTGTGCACTGCCCAAATGCACAAGATATACTTGGATGTTCAAGTAAAATGAGTGTTCGACTTTCCCTCAATCACCCCACAGTGCCCTTGCCCTGGTCTAGGTGTAGCAGGTTGGGCTTAGTAAGCACCCACATGCCTTACCGAGAACTCCTGCCTGCTTACCTGAGAGGGGGTGGGCAGAAGAGGTGGATGCAGAGTGCAGAAATTGTGGGGAGCTCTGGGATTTGAAATTTGGAATTTGACCTAAGTATAGCCAGATCTGTTACACCTTAGGAATAACTAACTGAAGAAAGAAAGAAGTGTGAGATCCACCCACATGTACAAGGCACTGTGATGGCTGCAACTGGCTGCAGGTGAGCTAACTCTCACTGTGATCACTGAACTATTAACGGCGGCTGAGGAAATGACTATCTACTGTCTATGAGAAGCGCGCCCCAGAACTTACAACAATTACCTTCTTTCATCCATATTAGGATCCTCGCTTTCCATTTGAGGAAACTGAGGCACACAGGAGCTAAGTCAATGATTCAAGTTGATGCTGCCAGCAAGCACAAGAGCAGTATTCCAACTGGGGCAGCTAGCTCCAGAGTCTACACGTGACCACTCTGGTTGCTTCCATTTAAACCACAGAGAAAAGTGATAAACTCCAGCATCTGAGAGCTTGAAGCTTTCTGTGAACACTTAATTCAGTGAGAAAATTCAGCAGACACATTCACTGAAGTTACTCAGTATTTCTGCAAATGAGCTGCAAGTTAGCTGCCATGGCCCACTCCATCTATTCTTTATGGATCATTGCACAATTCAGGGTAAAATGGAGGAGAGTTACTTAGCCTCAGCTCTGGACAGCTCTGGCACTCTCCACAGCACTTGGGACCTGTCCCTTCTGCTCCCACATTCCACATTCCACGGAAGACATATTTCTACCTTATGCCCCTCACTTCAGTTTGCTCGTCCTGGTAGTTGAAGTGATGCATTACACGCTCTAAAGAGGTCCCCTCCATTCCCTGGCATACTGAGCAGCAGAGATAAGTATTTCCAGCACATTCTTAAGGTTTCCGTTTCAGATTCTACTTGAAGCTTCTTGGTGATTCCTTTCATGTCTCAGTCTTTCCTCTCTTGGTAAACATATCACTTCTGTTTTACACCCAAAGTAGTAGTTTGTGGTAGAATATGCTGATGTAAAAAGATGGAAGATTTAAAATATATCCCAAAACAGGAAATTGTGGGCATTTTCCTCTCTGTAGGGGTAACGCTGAGCTCCACATGTTCTCTGATGACAAGCTGGCGCACAGAGATTGATTGTCAGAATTAGGATGGTGCTGCTAGAGGAACCTATTATTAATATTAAAATTATTATTGGTTACATTAATCATTTCTGAGGATTTCCAGTATAACATGTAATTTATTTATGTATAATTTATATCCTGACTTGTTCAAAAGGGGGAGAAGGAAAGAGGAAAGGAACTTGAATTTATTGAGTCTATTGTGTAACGAACTGCAAAATTTGCATATACTTTGTTATCCTCATGAGAGTGTTGTGAGATAAGCAGTGTTAGCCTCTGAGGACAAGTAAAGAAGTACCTGAACCAGGTGGAGTACACTCTGGTCTTCCCACTGAACTCTGGACCCTCCCTAATCCTTTGATCTCTCCTCCATTCCATGCTGGCCTCAGGAGTGTGGGAATGGGCAATTAAAAGGAAGTAAAACAGGAAGTTAAAAATGAAGATTATGGTCATACAGAGGACAGGACAGGTGGGAGGGATAGATAAATAGTGTAGAATTATGGGATAGAGCTACAGGTCACAGCTATTTAAAGACAAATTATTTAAGGGTAAAATACCTACAATTATCTTAGGAAGTCTGGATTCAACAAGGGTCTGCTACAGTCTGTGAAAGCTATACAATCTAGCTGGTTTCTCTATTGCTTTGAAGGAAGCTCACATCTTGATTTGGTGTTTATACATGTAAATATCATAGTAGTATATCACAATTTAGTAAGGGCTTTCTTGGAGGATGCTAATCAAACATGACCAAGGCAAGATGCTTCCCTTTCAACATCCTTTTACCAGGAGTCTGAGCACCTACTTTGTGCCAGCTGCTATGCTTGTTGCTGGAGATGTAGCAATCCTTTCTGGGTTGTAAAGAAATTTCTTCTTGTACAATGTTGGTTACATTAAGCAGACATCACTCAGGTGGATTATTAAGATGTTTTCTGATAAGCTTATCTCGTGGAGGTCAAAGGAAGACCACTGTTCTGTGGGAAAAAGAGGGGGCTTGCCTGGGAGAGACTGGCATCATTCCAATATCACTCTGGTGTCTCCTTTTCTAGAAAAGTGGGTCTTCAGATGGAAAACTCAAGCCTGGAACCCTTTATCACTCTATGGGTTCTGTTTCCTAGGTCTGGCTTTAAGGCTTAGTAATACCACATAGCCACAATGCTTGGAGACACCAAGGACCAGAATGTAGGAGTGGTAGGTCTCTACAACGTCTGTATCTGATTGGCAACTCATGACTTACCATTGGTGTAGGTGATTGATAAGCATTTGAAAGCACTATCAAAGTGTATCAAGGTCTTGAATAACACCATTTCATCATAAAGCTGGTGAGAAAAATCAGCTTTCAGTGGGAGTCACTGTATGTCCTCTGCACGTGCTCCCCACAAGACTAGGCCCGGGTCCTCCCATCCCCTCTACATCCCAACAATGTTCATGTGGGGCTCACAGCATCTGCAGTGGCCAGTCCGAGTGAGCGTGGGTATGTGTGAGTGGCCTTGGGAGAGAAGGGTGTGCAGTCCAGGCTGGATTCCCACCTTGTGCCCTGAGCTGCTGGCTTAGGGTCTGTCGCCCAAGACCCTGAACTAGAATAAGCTTTTGAAAGTGAATGCTTTTTTTCCAAAATGAAGTTTACTCACCTTCAGCTTGAGCCTTCAGACCACCTGTCTGCCACACTCCGGTTCAGAGGCCACCAGACCCCTGCGGCCAGGCATGCCCACATACCTGTCTGCAGTTCCTAAGCAGGGCACTTAAGTGGGGTGGGGGGGGCGCTACAGAG